TCTTTCTGTTACACCCACTATACAATATAAAATCGAAATAATAGTAACTACAGTCTACGATATTAATAATTATTATTATTATAAAAWTTTTTTTTTTTWAAAGACTGTAACCAATTGAAATTGTCTCGTATATTATTTGATCAGATTATCTACGAAGCTGGTTTCGCGCACAATAGGCACGAATACGTGACGTATATAATATGATTTTAAACCCGCTATCGATGCTTTTATTTTATTGTTGTGTATTGTGACTATTGCTTGGTGAATGGTGGCAGCGTTACGCCATTAGTCCGTGTCCGTTGTTGACCTGATTATATTATGTAGATTCATGGGGAGTATGGTTAAAACGGATATTGAAAATATCATAATAGTTTTCTATATATTTTAACGTTGGTGGTATTTTTTTTCGCTTTGTTTTGCAGGCAGAACGTGACAGTCTGATTGACACGCACCATGAACTAGAAAAACAGCTGGTGACCCGGGAYCTGGAACTGCACGAAAAAGAAGAAGAACTATTTCTGCAGCTAGAAAAGGTGATCCGGCTGGAAGAGGACTGCGAGAAACTGCGCAATGAAAAAGACAAGATGGTCAAGTGGAAGGATCGCCTGGAGCGCGAGAAAAACGAAGCTTACAGGCAGCTGCGGCTCCAGGCCGAATCGTCAGAGAACACTAGGCGCAACTTGGAAAGAGCCCGTTTGGACGCGTACAGACAGTTTTCGGAGATCGCAGCCGAAAAGGACAACCTCGAAAAAGAGGTGTGTACCTATATTTTTTACGTTTGAAATTGTATTAATATATTTTGTTGGTTTTTGTTTTCAGAACTCGAGACTTAAAGAAGTATTGGAGGATCTCGGGAGGAAAGCCGATTTGTACCACACCAACAGCAAACAGGCGAGTCAAAAGGCCAAGCGTGTATCTGGTCTGGAACGCGAAGTAAACGAATTGAAATTGATGGCCAAACAGTCAGCCACTCTAAACAGTCAGCTGCAGAAAGGTATGAAGCACTTGGCCACGTGCAGGCGCAAGAAGTGTTCCGTTTGTTCATACACAAGAGCCACTTTCGGAGAGTACACATCTAGTAGACACGGGTAAGTCCAAACATTGATACTATTTACTAAATATGATAAGATATATATTTTTTTTTTCGAAATAATTTTAACTATTCGGCTGCGCGTTTACGTTAAAAACTTTTTTTGTTCTTAGATCGCTCTCAATCCTCATATAAAACACACTCTTTTAATCAACCCCTAAATTACATAATGTTAATATTTTTTTGTTGCCTGTTAAAACCTACAGGGAGAAAACCTCGAGGTTCATCGGAGGTTGTTTCCCGCTCGACGAGCTTCGCCGTTCCTCCGATCGGATGTCCACGTCTGACCTCGAACACGAGTGTGCAAAACTGGCCGAACGCCTGTCGGCCTGCTCATTCCCACACACRCCACCGTCGACACCCGAACGGTCCGTGGCCAGTGGGTCACTGTCCCGGTTCGTATCGTACATCGACGACGCGTTTTCTTCGGCCAGCGACGACGACGACGTCTGCGGTGAGATCGGCGGCCGAACAGCCAAGGGCACCGGAAGCGGAAGCCGCCGTCAGTTTTCTTCCGATTCGGGAATCTCTTCGTCGTCGGCCACACCGACCGACCCGAACAAGTTAACTCCGACCTGTGGTGGTGGCGGTCATCGCCCTTCATCCACCACGTCGTTCAACCGCTCCGCCAAGTGGACTTCATCGTTCAGAAAGCTCATCAGACGCGTGTCTACCAAGAAGCACGTCGACGAGTCTCAGTAATAGTATGAATCTAATATTATGTACTCGCAACCAGAGAAGTTCGGAATAGTTTTCCATCAAAAGTGTCATCATCACGTGTATTGTTATTTTATTTTTTTATTTTTAGTTTGTTTACATCATTATTATTATTATCATTATAAATTCAGGGAAGTTATTACTGTCGATATACTTTACTAGTGTATCGGATATCTCGTTTATTATTACAGGGGGGAGGGGGGTTGATAAGAAGACGTGCCCGTTCTCACGAAAACTATTTTTACGAAATTGTCTCAACGCCGTCGTTGTTCACTCAGATGTTGTTTGCGTTGCTTACACGAAGTACGTCATAGATGTATAATATATAATAATATTATATTTGTAGACTAGCCGGTAGTTACGTAGGGTTAGTTAATGAAGTCTTGATTTTTCGTAGTGTTGTGCCTACGTTACAATTTATTAATATCATACTTATCTCTCGCTATTTTTCATTGTTTTTATTACGATTTTTAATTTTATTTTTTAACTTACGATAATAATTGCAGTATTAATATATTTACTTTATCATATCGTTAATATTCAAGAAAACTCATCATTCCTATTTAACGATGTTATGTTATTCCTATATATTTTTAATAATAAATAATGAATTCTTCAAATTTTTTTTAGTTATTAATTCTATACGCTTACTCGTTGTTTAACAATATTTTATTTATGGAAGTGTTGCATTTATATTATTTTACGATAATCTATTGAGAAGATGTTTATATACTGACGGGGATCAGGAGTATAACGAATGTTTGTTAAAAAGACATAAAAAAAATATTAGTGTATTAATGGTCCTATATACAAACGATGTAATAGTTAATTTAATAATTAATATATTTTACTGCAGATTGTTTTGTTTTGTTTTAGACCTATAACGTTATTTGCCTTAGGTTTTACTTTTATAAATAAACATTTTTAATGTCGTTAAAGATGTACCTACTAAATATTATTGTAATTTAATAATGTTTAGTTTTCTTTTTTTATCATGTAAACAAAAAATATTACTAATGTGTCGTATACTGTATACTTGTTCGTTGTATAATTAAAATTAATATGAATATATCAAACAGATTTGAAAGCAATAGAAAACTATTATATCGTCTTTTGCGCGCGTACGCTACACCTCTCCAAAGTTGAAGCTGRCGGATTCACATCCCCTTTTTAAGTAGACACTTAAAAAGGACGAATTATCAGAAGCGTATTGAAAATATTCTCATACATGATGGTGATTCTTACGAAAGCCGTCGACGGAGGCGCATGGTATCCGCTGAGCTCGGAACAAATATTTCGTTCAATAACAATTGAAACAGTAAAGTTATCATTATAAATTATAATGGTTGTTCAGTACTGCAGTGTTACTCGATTATACCATAGAATACGTATCCGACAGCCGACTGTTGTGAGTGTTGTGACAACGAAACGAGTCATTGGTCGTCGCGACATTATAAACAACGATAATGCCTACACCGAATTTTTTCGGCGTAATATCAACAGCAGTCGACTCGTAAAAAAACTGAGTGTTTAGGTAAGTATAAGATAAACATTTAATTCGTTAACTACAAAATTGTATGGGGTTCTGAATTTAAATGAATTCGGTCGATTTTCTGAAAATTATTTTTAAATTAATGCGTAAAAGTTAACTTAGCAGGTTGTTGCCCTATCATTGAAATTTACATATTGTGTTTCTAAATATTGCATTTTAGAAGGTTTTATAAATTATAATATATACAATTTTTTTTTTTTTTATTACCTAATGATTAAAAATTTGATTTTTTTCGTAAATTTATTTTCATTAAATGCTTTTGCTATGCTGAGTGCATGTATGTTCCGTGAGTGTTAAGGTGGATTGTATACACTACTTCATGATGAGTTTAATAGTCATAGTGCTTACTGCTTTATGAAACGTGTCACATGCTGGTTGAAGCTCTCTACTGATTAAGTATGAGTTCGTGAGGAGAGGGGTGTTATATATTGATGGTGATTTTTTGTCGATTGAAATTAGTTGTAGTATAGTAGTGTTCCATTTTTTATTATTTAAAAAAAAGATATTTTCGAGTTTGTTACAGGTATTGAATTCCAGCGATTTTTCCAAGATGAGAGAATTTATTTATTAATAGAGTTTTTAATGTCATATGTGGGTATGTTATTTATTGTTGGATTTGAAATAGTTTTCGCGTTATATTGCCGACATATTATATACAATGATTATATTTGTCTGCTTTTTCGTATCTTCTTGATGTACCAATGTGTGATGGTATACCCACACGAATTCGATGTTTTTTTTTTTTTTTTTGAAATTTGTATTTCATATCGTGAAAATCGATATTTTTTTCATCGACAATATAGAACAAAAACACACAAAAATACAAAATGCGTCGACTTCTACGATATCGTTTGGTGGTATGAAAGTGAAATAACAATCGACGGATGACATAATATTATTCCGTCAGATTTTTTTGTCATGGTGAACGAATGACGATGAATTTTAATCGCACTCCATCGTATTATTTGTTCGACTACATGTGTTTACTTTGGTAACTCGTGTGGGTTTCGCTTACTTATTTTCATTAATATTTATCGTTGTACCGTTTAGCGAGGTTATTCATTGATTTTAGATAAAAAATAAATGAAAATACCGTGTACGTGCTTCATATAGTCATATGTGGTCAAAGGAATTTTAAATTTAGTTAGTGAAGTATTTAACACAAAACAGGTATATAGAGTTATATTTTAAAAATGATTTTGTTTTATTACACTGATGATCTAGTAAATTATATTAATACGTTTGTTCTTTATGAACTATATAATGACTAAATTTTCAACTGTAGAGGAATTTCGTACCTATTAGAAAGTGACCCTTAAGTAGTTGATTGATTCTCTGTTTATTTAGTTTATTCAAATAGTACGTACAATAATCTGTAGGACAGCAAATAAATTTCACGTAAGAATAATGTAATGAATTGATTTTGACGCGGTTTCTTAGTTTCTTACGTTATTAATTTTCGGTATTAGCAAACAAAATACGCTGGCTAATATGTTATTTAATTCCGAAAGACTCCTGTCAACTACAGTTGATTATACGATATTCAACATTGGTTTTTTTTTTATGTTATTATACCTAAGCAGCCTTGAGTTTTACATATTTTTTATCTCTGCACGATATATTCATAAGTAAATTTTCACGATGAACATTCCGGTCGATCCTCATAACAACCATTTCACTCTAAAAATGTTGCTGACCAACAACATWCACGGGGTAATCAACTGGTTGCAGAATTCTGCCAATTTCGGGCCTACCCGACTGGACGGGCCCCCCTTCAACCGGATGATGTCAACAAGATCRTGGTTTGACGTTTACGCCACGACAGGAATCGGCAAAACCGAATATGTACGGATAGAGTATAGTCTCGTAATTTTTTAAAGCCGGGGGGAAATTCGAATAATAATAGGAAAAATATATMTTTASGATAATATCGACACGGCGTGGTGCGTGCGATAATATAATATTCCGCTGTAATAAAATTATTTTAATATTATAACTTATGTATTGTAGTAATAAATAATAATGTAATGATGTGATATTATGATACTATGATTATTATATTGTTTTTGTGTTAGTAGATAGTAGTTAGTTCGTCTCGACGACCCATCGTGTGCGGAGTAGCCCGATGTCGAGTTCTTATTTATATGTGTCTTTGATATATTTTTATATTTTGTCATACGTTAATTTTTTATGTATTTTTATTTTTTATTTTTTATTTACAAAACAGGCGTCTAGAATGGACTGTCTGATCCAAATCACGCAGATGATGAAAGAAAATTTCGGTATTTCGCGTTTGGGTTCGCACAAATTGTCGACAAACACGAAATGTTTTGATGATTTGCCGAATGCCATCTACTCTGCAGAAAATGCGTTCATGGTAAATAAGTCAATGCAATCGACCACGATTACCGCGCCCCCTAACTGTGACTCGTTTGCGGATCGAAATATTATTATCATTATTAACATCGTATCACAGTTACTATTAATTTTTATAGAAAATCAACTGTTCTAGATTTAAAATTGTGACGGGGTGAACCATAACATGTTTTTGGGAAAATGTTTTTAACTATTTATATTATTAACCATTTTTATTTTTTATTTTCCCCCAAATAATATACTTCACAGTTTTCGAAGGAACAAATTGAGAAACTCAGTATCTTAGGATATTTCTTGGACACAGGCGATTCGAAATCGCCTTTAGAAATGCTTTACGACATTTCCAATATATTGATTACGCGGCCAAGAGGGAACATGACGATCAAAAGCGGTATGCATATTTACAAGCATTACCTGAATTTGTACTGTTCGACGGGAGTGGGGCTGACCGTCGAAGTGCGTATATATATATAAGACGTGATTAATTAAGTACCTAACTGTATGTTAAAATATAACGATTAGTAATGGGTATTTGAACCATCAAACTTTGAATAGATTTCTGAACAATTCAAACAAAGTTGGTTAGTCTTATATCCTCGAAATATTTGATTATGTTATATCAGCTGATTAGTTTTAATTTTCTTGTTAACTGCACTGCATATACTGTTTATTTTTATTACCAATTTCCAAGTTTATTTTACTGCTATAATCTTAAGTATTTTAAAATTTGTTGAATTCTTAAAAGTTCAAATAAGTTTCAAGTTTGAGAAAAATATAAAGTTCGGATTCGAGTTTGTAAAAATGTAAGTTCAACCCATTTCTAATATAAATATAGGACACATGCATTATWCGAGTGTATACATAATAATATACATAAAACACTAACTACAATTAATATGAAATKAATTATAATTTTAATTTAAAATATGAATAATTATGAGAATYGTTTGTATTTTTAAGTGATTTCTTTAAATCTAGTTTCAGAATCATTATTTGTGCTAAAACAATGTAATTTGACAGAATATGTGTTGTGTTTGCATATATAATAATTAATAGATAGATACTTGTATTWMCTCTGAATAATAAATTTATGAAAATAATATTATTATATATTTATACGACTTAAATAGTATAATATATAATGARTACAATGCGATCGATATCGGCCGTAGTCAGCTGATTTTAATATGTTTCCCTATTTTATTTTCTGTTTTTTTWAAWYC